ATCTATGGATGTGCTTTCATATCTTTGTATCTATCTGTGTGTGTGTGTGTGTGTGTGTGTGTGTGTGTGTGTGTGTGTGTGTGTCTGAATGTGTCTATCAGCATCTGGTTGGCTGGGCTGCTGGCTGCACCTGAGTCTTAGAGCTCCATGGCCGCTCACCCCCTCCCTTTCTTTAGGCACGGGGAAGTTCGGACAGAACCTCCCACCTCGACCCAGCTAGGCCTGGCTCCTGACCACGCCTGGCTAAGCATACTCTCTGCTACACCAAAAGTCAGAGAGAGAGATCAAAACCATGGGACCCAGTCCTGCAGGGAGGAACAACATCCCCACCTCTCGTCCCAAGTGCTGAACTTTCTGAGCTTGTGGGAGGGGAAAGCAGTCCATCTGAAGCATTAAGTATGGCTTTGGATCCCGTCTGGCTCTTACATGACAACTTGCCTTGTTCCAGATGGTTCCATGCAGTTCACATTCGTTAGAATGCTAATTTATTCTGACTCATCCAGGCTGCCTTGGCTGCCTCACAGCAGGGCTGGCATATACCTCAGTGCCAGCGCAGGCCCCTGGAGGCCATGACTCCCAGCTGGAATGGGCCCCTCTGAGAAGCTGTCACATACTAGAGGATAAAAGGGAGGGAAGGAACATCTGGGGACCAGGCTTTGGTGTCAGCATTGAGCCCTGGCAGCACTAACACAGTAACTCAGCCTGAGACAGAACTGCCAAATGGGGCTGAGATACCCACCAAGAACAGTAGCCCGGGAAGTCCTACCAAACACCAGCCTTGACGACCTTACAGTACAAAAGATCCTCCAGAGCAGAGACGTGGGTGTGTGACCACCCTTTCCATGGCAGCACCCCCAGGTCACACAAAACCCCGACCCTTAGCTATGCCATCCTTAAAGTGACCGGCTGAAAATGGCTCAGTCCCAAGGGCCATGGCTGCATGGATGAGCAGAAGAAAAACAACTTTCCATGTCCCTGCTGTCGCCTTCCCTGAGCATGTGACCACCCAGCTTCCCGTGACAACTTACATCTCCCCGAGACATTTTCTGGCCACCAAGGCAGTTTCCACCTGTGCCAGGAGCTGGCCGTGCCAGGGTTAATGCCTCTGAAGCAAGCCATCCAAGGTGATGTCTGGGGAATTACAGGCCTGCACCGACCCCTCCCCCACCCCCACCCGCCCCAGCCCTAGCACTGCTGCCCATCTGATAACACCCTGCTGATGCACCCCCAGGCCTCAGCAGTCGGGTCCAGTTTTGGTTTTTGCTGTTGTTGTTGTTTCGTTTGTTTGATGTTTGAGTCCTCAGGTCACTGCCAATGTATACGGCTGTGCACTCCACCCTGACCAGGGAAAGCGATCCCACGGCAACTCGGGGAGCTAACCTCTGACTTCTGACCCCATCTTACTAGGAAAACTTGGTGAAATGGTGACGTCTAGATTCAGGGAAACTGGAGGGTGTGTTACGTGTAGCAAAGTTTCCAGCTGAAACTCAGAGCCAGGCTGTCCACCCGGTCCACAGCGAGATCCAGGCAGTGCCCCTTCCCAACCTGCCCCTCATTGTCCCTTCTGTACCTTGGAGTCCCTGTCCCAAACAGGATACATCACAGTTCCCGGCTGCCCACCCACAAGGCACCTCTTGCCCGTAGATACTGAGTGACAAGCGGAATGGTCAGCCGTATAAGCAGCCTACAGCCCACAGCCCTCTCAGCACCTGCCACTGCCCCTCAGCACTCCCAGAGCCTGCCCAGAGCGCCTGACATCTGCCCACAGCCTTCGGCGTTCCCGCATCTGTTAACAGCTTACGGAGCTCCCAGCTTCCATATGTACCAGGCTCCAGGGTCGTGGAGAGCCTCTCAGGAGCAGCTGCCTTGCCATGTGCTGGGAGAAAGATACCAGGGCAGACATGCCTGAGCACTTGGACAGAAAAGGGCTAGCCTGGACTGAAGGTGACCTCTGGTGACAGCTCACCCAGGAAGGTGGAGGAGACACTTGTGGTTCCTGAACTGTTAGAAGCACTCCTTACTCCCCAGCGTCCTGGCTGGATAGGGCATCGGATGGAAGCGCAAGGTGTTGCTCTCCTAGCTCTGGAACAGCAGGATGAGCGCTTGAAAAGATTCAGAGATGGGGCTGGAGAGATGGCTCATTGGTTAAGAGAACTGGCTGGTCTTCCAGAGGATTGGGGTTCGATTCCCAGCACCCACATGGCAGCTCACAACTGTCTGGGACCTGACACCCTCACACAGACATGACTGCAGACAAAAAGAGCAATGCACATAAAATAAAATTAAAGAAATTGCTTTTTTTTTTTTTTTTTTTTTTTAAGGCATCAGAGGTGTACTTGAATAGCAAGGGCAAGGAACGCCAGAGAAGAGACCTGACTGGCTGGGTAGCTGCGGCAGACCCTGTGTGCCTGTGGACGGCAACTCAAGTGAGCGTGATCTGGAGAGCCCTCCCATGCCAAGTTACAAGATGTGAATTCCCAGGCCACAGGGAGCCATCAAGTCATTTTCATTTTTAACATAGTGTTTATATTGTCATATTGGTTTCACTGTACAGAGTGTTAGGTTTCATAAAGATGTTTTCATGCAGTTTTATCATTATCACACACAGTAACTATGATCTCTCCCTTCCCTTGTGTATGTTTGTCTGTGTGTGTGTGTGTGTGTGTGTGTGTGCGCGCGCGCACGTGTGTGTGACTTCTTGAACATGCTGTATATACTACTGAAGGTCTTGAGTAACAACACAAGGGCCCAAGGTCTTTCGAGAAGATGCATTGGGCAGCCCTGCCCCCACCCCTACCCCAGGAAGAGTTTCAAATGGCAGTGGTCACCTTGTTACCAAGATCGCAGCTGAGAGATAACAGACTACAGCCCTGATGGGACAGACTCTAAGTCCAGAAGGGAGACGCTTTGCCCTCAGGTGGGAGACAGGTCACGAGGGTGATATGGTGACTGCTGCTGTGAGAGAAGGGGTCATACAGAGAGGCCATACTCTGATCTCTGAACCCTGAATGCCACGTGCAGATGGACCCAGGGGCTAGGGAAGACCTCAGCAGAGAAAGAGAGAACTCTTGTGCTAAGAGACAACAGAGCTACAAAGCAAGAGTAGACCCTGGTAACCAAGGCCATCACCAACGCCAAAGTGGGGTGAGAGGAAATTGGGCACAGAGGCTGCTACGACAGGTGGCTGTGGAGGCTGATGGTAACTCAAGAGGCTACGGACATATGACAGAACAGCAATTAAAAAAAAAAAAAAGGCCAAATAGCTCAAAGTGACCTGTATGTCACCTGATGCCCTGTGCTACCCAATCTAAGTTGTGTTCACAATGTGCTCTCCATACCCAGGCAGGGGCTGTAGGAGCAGAGGCTGTGGAAACAGACCAGCCCCATCACTTTGAGACAACCCTGGAAGTGCTACCATCCAGCCACTGCGAAGTCTATGGCTTTCTCCATGTCTCCCGGCTGACTTACCATAATGGCATGAAGGACAGTGGACAAGGACATCACCCAACGGGCAGATGTGAGCCAGGCCTCATGACAGCCACTTTTCCATAAACTGGAGTAACTGGATCCATGGAAAGGGTTGTCAGAGGTGGCCAGATCTGAAGCAACAGCCTCTGTGTGAATACACTGGGCGGGGCTTCAAAAAACGGGTGCCCGGTGGGGACTGCCACCCCTGCCTGGAGTGACACATGGGCACACTTCCCCTCACCAAGACCACCCCAAAGGACCCTCCCGGGTGACAGATTCATAAGGTGGTTTAGCAACCACAAATCCTCTTCAGGAAGGACAGCCATGCGTGGCCTGAATTCACCCATTCAAAGGTGTGCAAGAGGAGGAAGGCAGCAGGCTGTACCTACAGGAGGCCCCGGCCTTGTTCTGAATCCACACAAACCCAGACGGGACAGGAGGGTATGGAAACTGCGGAGACCTATGGCCCCATCTACACGCTAAAACAAGACACAAAAGCCGCACCCGAGCTCAGTCCTGGGGCAGTGAGGGCCCAGCCTGCCTCCCCTCCTACTGCTCACCTCCATCTCTGATCTGTCTCTCTCTCTCTCACACCATAGATGGTGTCCAGGCCTTCAGGCTCCTCAGAGGCCTGACCCATGCCAAATGAGATTGTCAAATGCCCTTTGAAGGCACAGGGTAATCACTTCCAGGGCTTTATAGTCCCTGAGGAGTCACAGCCACGCCCCCAGCCCAGGAAGGCCATATCTCAGTGCAAGGACATGGCCCAGGGTATTTACAGACGGTAATGAGGCTGTCCACTGCAGAAGCCCCATAAATAAGCAGGGAAACTGCTGAGTTTCATGTGCTTGCCCCTGATTGCCTCAAAGGCGTCATTATTTTAATAAAAAAAAAAAAAAGTAATCAGCAAGCCTTCCCAGCATGCTCATGGTAGTGTTAATTACAGGGAGTCAGTGAGGGTGTGTGGGGCATGCCTTCCAAGGAGCCCGACGCTTCTCCTGTTGGTCCACAAGGGGTCAGGGTGGGTGGACAGGGCAGGAAAGCAGAGTGGTCCCTCACATACATCAGCTGGGCCATCACAGCCGGTAGCACAAGGCAAGCCCCAGCTATCTACCTCCTTGTATCGTGCCAGCATTCCTGGAACTGCTCTTTCTGCCAGCTGCAAATTCTCCACAGTGGAAATAGGCCAAATACCAAGGCCTCAGCCAGCAAAGCCCAAAATATTGCCTCAAGAATAATGGAACCCCAAACAGGACCGATTCCAAGGGTCCATGGTGCCAAGGTACATCCCACAAGGCTATTTTTTGGGCTGTGCTCCCTGGGACTCCTCTCAGGAGGGGAAGACTATGAAATGAGCTGTGTTTCTGATTTGAGGGAATGCTTATTACTGTGACATGGTCTACTCTTTGCTGACTGATACAACTGAAATCAACATGTTGGAGAAAGAGGGGGCATGAGATTAATCAGCCCTTTTTCCTGAAAAGTGAGACAAAGGAGGTTTTATTTTACAACAGGTAGAGTTTGGGCTTGAGTGTAAGATTTACATTTATTTTATTGTGTGAGTGTTCGCCTGCATGCAGACACCATGCGCATTCAGTGCCCTCAGAGGCCAGAAGGGGGCACTGGACCCTGGGAACTGAAGTTAGCATTGCAAGCCGCCACGTGGGTGCTGGGACTCGAAGCAGGGCCCTCTGCAGGAGCAGCCAGTGCTCTTGACCTCTGGGTGAGCTCTCCAGCTCCACGTTAGGTTCTAACTGCAATTTTAAGTTGATTTTTCAGCATTTATGGGGGGCTGTATTGTTTGATTTTTATTAATTCACTTTCTCAGTAATACACTCTTTCAGCTCACTCTACTCTGAGACTTACATGGCCCCGCTGTACTTTGGTATCAGAGCCTTCCCCGAAGCAACTTTCTTTCCTTGCACTTATCAATAGGTTGTCTTTTGATCTTCACCTGGAATGATTCATCAGATGTGATGTGTTAGCAGCTGTCCCTGGGGTCGGGGCAGCCTGGTCACTGTCTTCAAGCTCCGTTTTCCTAACCTCAGTGTCTTAGCAGGAGACTGCAGGGCCCAGCCACTGTTGAAAGAGAGACCAATCAGAGTGAGGATGTGAAGGATGGTGTGGAGATGAAGTCAGGTCACCCAGTGGAACAGGCTCTGAGGGCAAGGCCTCTTTGATCACTACCTCAGAACCCAGAATTCAGGAGGCCAGGAGCTGTCTTCCTGGGTCCCAAGTTCTCCCTATTTCTCTCTCCCAGCTGTACTTTAAGCCTTTCCTTGGGTCATCCTCACCTCCAGGACACACAGCCTAGGGGAGGGATCCAAACCCTACACCCACAAAGCAGGAAATGGGAGGTGATTCATGTGGAGATAGAGAATGGAGGGGAAGGTACAAGCAGGAGCTCTGCTTCGTGCTATGGACGGTTCTCCTAGTCAGGGTTGAGTTATAGCCTGCCACCCTCAGCTGGCCACTTCCCTGCTGACCTCAAGTCTACCTCCTGTCTTCCCAGCTCTGGAGAGGGCCCATCCCGCAGAAGACAAGTTTGCAGATGAATATCTCGGAAATGAGGGTCCAGCAGATGTGGCTGCGCCTTTCTGGTCACATGCAGGTCTCTTTAGAGACTCTGCCCAAACAGGGTTCTGGGGAGCACGACCATCCATCACCAGCCTGCAGCCAGGTCTCCTCAGCCCAGCTGACCATGTGTATACTTAGGGGTGTTCTCCTGAGGCCCGTGTGATGAAGGTCTGGTCATCCGCTTGTACAGCTATGGGAGGTGGTGTGACATTTAGAAAGTGGGACCTCACAGGGGGCAGTTAGGTCGCCTTCCTAGAGCCCCACTCCTTGTCCCAGCTTCCTGGAGGTAGGGCACTTCCTCCACTGTGCATAACCACCACAGTGCTCTGTGCCACCACAGCCCAAGCAACAGGGGCCAAGGCCTCCGAAACTGAGACAAAATGAAGCTTCCCTCCTGATTATCTCAGATAATTATGCCACACTGACAGAACTCTGACTAAGACAGCATCCAAGGTCAGACCTGAAAACCCTTTCTTGACGATAAGTCCCACTGCCCAAGATCTACAGAGGCCAGGGCTCTACTGCTGGCAGCTGACCCTCGGAGCCATGGACTCGGGTGCCGGAGTGAGACAACCCCGTCTACACTACCACACCTCCCCGCAACCCCCGGGGACTTCCAGAGAATTGCTGGGCCTCAGAAGCGCTCCCTTGCTACGGTGACACCACTGTGAGCAGGAAGGCAGCTGGGACCTTGACATGTACATGTGTCCCAGCAGCGGTCACAAGCTGCTGGCTTGCGGTAAGAGTGCTGTCTGGGGCCACAGCTGCCACCCCCGCATCTTCTTGTCCTCAGAGTGCCATGGTATCTCGGGCCGCCTCTGTCCCAAGGAGCTGCCGGGAGGTCAGGACCCAGGGGATGGGACAGCTTTGGCACAAGGAACTTCCCCCGGTCTCCTCCCCTGCAATTAGCAACCCCCACTGACACGGGCAGCCAGGGCCTCGAGGGTCGGCTGATGGAGAAGGCTACGGGAAATCTACTTTGTAATAAAACTGTTCATAAAAGGAGAATGTCGATTAAAGGCTCCGCTTCTGCGGGAAATCGCTTTTTATGCCCCTATGTGAGTCTAGGAGGAGCAGGCACAAGGCCTCAGGGGATCTGCAGGGGGCCATGCCCCACAGATGAAAGCCTTAAAGAAGTTGCAGTTTTGAGGGAGCTCAAATGCCCCACACTCCAAAAGGCTACCCACCCACCCCAACGCAGCACAGCCTCTCTCTAGAAACCTGGGCCAGGCCCAGAGGCCAAGGGAGCGAGGGGAAGGCAAGGACTCGGAGAAAGAGGGACCTCTTGTCAGTCTACTGCCTACTCACCTCATGGGAACAGTGGGAGCCCCACCTTACCGGAGCCGGGAGAGCGAGTGGCCTCACTGTGTACAGGAAAGCAGTGGCGATCTGGGCAGAAAAGCCTGTCTGGATTCAGCAGCTGTTCTTGGGGCACCATTGCAGAAGCTTGCATTTGGAGGGTGTAAGTTTAGTGTGTCAACTTGACACGAGCTGGAGTCATCAGAGAGGAAGGAGCCTCAGCTGAGGAAATGCCTCCATGAGATCCAGCTGTAGGGCATTTTCTCAATTAGTGATCAATGGTGGAGGGCCCAGCCCATGGTGGGTGGTGCCCTCCTTGGAATTGTGGTTCTGGGTTCTATAAGAAAGCAGGCTGAGCAAGCCATAAGGAGCAAGCCAGTAAGCAGCCCCCTCCATGGCCTCTGCATCCAGGTTCCAGCCCTGCTTGAGTCCCTGTCCTGTCTTCCTCTAATGATGGGTAAGGCCTGGCAGTGTAAGCCCAGCAAATCCTTTCCTCCCAACTTGCTTTTTGGTCATGGTGTTTCACTGCAGCAATAGAAACCCTGACTAAGACAGAGGGGGTCCTGAGGGATCCTAGATGTCAGAGGCCATCAGGCCAGCGTCTTATGGGGCACAAAGCTCTCCTTCTAATGTGTAGAACATTCCAGGGGCTGCCAAGGGCACAGCTGAATTGTTACCTGTTAACCAGAACAACCTCTTCCAAGGCAGCATCCAGCTAAAGACAAAGAGACCACAGCAGGCCCCATCATCTCCTCCCTCCTGGGCCTCGTTGGGCCCGTGGTAGCCACAAAAGGTCTCTCAGACAGAGTGGACAGGGGTCAGGCCAGAGACCCAGTGAGATCCCTCGCCCATGGCCGGGACACCGCTACAAACGCAGGTCTCGTGGAAAAGCCAGCTGTGAAAACCACAAGGTACCTACCTGTCACCTGAAGAGAGAGGCTTTAAAGCGTAACATGGTGACCAGGGCTCTAGAGGACAGAAGCACACCGAACGGTCTGCCTGCCTGATACATTAGGCATTGGACCCAAGCGGACACCTTGAATGTAGCTCATGCTCTGAACTTCCTTGGGGCGGTACAAGACCCACCCCAACCCCGCAGACCTGCTAGGAACCTCAGAAGCTTGTTCCTCAGAGTGGCGTCTGTGCACACAGCCAACTTTCTGGAACATCAGTGCATCTCCATGCCTTGGGACATCCGGCACGACACCCGAGCCAGGTCCTAGGGTGTCTCACTGCACTGAGGGGAGATAATGACAGTGAGAAAAGCTTGCAGGTGATTCCGACAAGTGCTACATTTTTTCAAGTGCTTTCCATCCTCACTGAACCCAATGATGCAGAAACTGGTGGGCACCTCAAGCCAACTGAAATTAGACACAAATTAGACACCTCCAAGAAAGCACCCGTGGTCACAAGCAAAATGACACAAACAAGTGGGGTAGACTGGAACTGTGGCTGCCTGGGGAGGAGTACCTAGCAGTGTACTTCACACTGGGGACATGCACTGAGAACAGAGTCACACGGCTGCAGGCTTGCCTGGCCAGGCATTTGGCTGCCGCTTGAGTCCTGTGTGTGTCATGCTGTAGACTTGTGAAGGTGTTGGCTTTGAGTTTGCCTTTGAAGACAGGCATGCCCTGTTGGGGGTCAGCAGCTCCCGCCTCCTCCCTGCTGGGGATCGCTGTGCTGTTCTCCTGAAGCGGAGGTCAGAATGCAGAGCCAAGGCATGCAGGACCTCTGTTCCCAGCAGCCCCTCTATCCCTCAGCCCAGCTCTGCCACTGCAGCCCAGGCCTAGGTTCCCAGAGATGGATTTCTCATGCTGCTGATGGCCCTGGGGGCCACTGGTCATCCTAGCCATCATGGCATCTCCTGCCCCTACACAGAAAGCCACACGAACTAGACTAAAAGAAACCCAGTCCCATCTGACTAGGCTGTGAGCCCCTACGATCTGTGCACCTGTTCCTGCCCACCATGGTCCCTCTCACAGAACAGACTGCCCACTGTGAGTCACGTGACACAATGGCTATCTGCCAGACCCCAGCCTAAGTTGGCTAGGGGAACCCCTTAGCACCAGGCTGGGCCCACCAGACACTTGAGCTCCTGGGTTACACACATCTGACCCCTTGGAGCCAGGAATTCATGCTGGGCAGGAGAGCAGGCCCTGTGAGCCTCAAGGACCAGAGTCATGGCCGGCCATGAAGGGCCCAGAGCCACTCCAGGTCACCTAGGCACCAGGTCACTAGCCGAGGATTCTGAAACAAGCCTGACTCTGTTCAGTTCTCTCTCCTTCACCTCACTGTAATTTACAAGGCAGCTGGAGCACAGGATATTTTTAATAAAAATTAGGTACAAGCAGATACAGGGGATTAATAGTTGTATTATGATTTTATAGTTCTCCATATACAGCCTCATGGAAAAGACAATCAGAGCAGAGCCATTCCAGGCAGATAAAATGGGGCATTTATTTTTAATGGAAAGAGAATTTCAGGACCCACCCAGCCGTGGAGGAAGTGCTGTGGAGGGCTCTGGGGGCGGAACAAAGAGAGGCTAGAGGCTTGGCCGCTCTGGTGAAGAGCCTCTGAGGGAGAAAGCCCCTGTGGTGGAACAGGGAGGGTTTGCCTAAGTGGGCCAAGGGGCAGCCCATGACGACCAAAGCCCCAACTCCACTGCCTGGAAGTCCTGAGCAAATCTCTCCCAGCCTCAATTTCCCCTCCTGCTTTAAGGAGGGAGATGCTCCCAGGATTTGATCACCTCCCCTCTTCCTCCAGGAAATGCAGCCTGTCCTGGGCTCACAGCTCTGCTTTGAACCCCATCAGCAGCAAGTGACCAGTTCTGTTCTTAGAAAGCCAAGATGCTGTGCCATCCAGGATCTGGCTGGCTGGGCTGGTTCAGACCTGCTCAGCTGGAGAGGCCTTCCCGGAGGACCCCACACCAGCACCCCTCATAACTATCAGAACAGGAGAGTCTGACCAGGACCCATGAGACGGGCTTGGAATCCCGGGCAGGGCTTGAAGGGGGCATATTTGGTGGTGAGAGAAATCTGTGGTAGTGGGGAAGGATCCACTTGGGGCATGGTTTCAAAGCAACGACTCAGAGCTGGTGCCTCTCCCTAGCTTGGCTAGAGGATGAAGCTACCAAGATAAGACAGCCGCCACATCTCATCTACTCCCCCAGCTTCCTACAGGAAACTCTGGGCTCTGGAAGGAATAAGAAGGTCACCTCAGGAGTGCTGGGTGCCACAGGAAGGCTGGGGCTCTGCTCGCCAGCCCTTGCCACCATGTCCAATGCAGACTCGTGCCCAGCCGCACTCTTGGGGGAAGTGCTTGGCCTTGGCCCACTGACTCATGACCCTAAGGGCTCTTGGGAGCCAGAGGGTGGCCAGGTCTTTCTCTCAAGGAGAAGAAGAAGCCTAAAGACCTTCCTTCAAGGGCTCCCAACCCAGCTAACAAGAAAGCCCACATTAAGCCATGGTCACCAGCCACAGAGAGCAGGAAGAACAGCAGAGGGGAAGTGTGAAGTGTGGGAGGTGGGCCTGCAGAACCCTAGGCCTACAGGAGTCTAGGTGCAGCCTCCTGGCCCTGCCTAGCATCAGGAGGCAGAGTACAGTAGGATGTGGTTGCTTTCATTCACCCTCATGGTCACTCATCCTACAGAGGGGACCTCTGGCCCCTTGGTTCACCTAGAATATCTCTCTCTCTCTCTCTCTCTCTCTCACACACACACACACACACACACACACACACACACACACACACACACAAAACCAGATATGTTTTCATGAGTTCTGACCCTAGAGCTAGCTATAGGCTCTGTGGGAGCTCCTGCCCCACACTTCTCCATTAGCAGAGCTTTCCCACCTCTTCTTGACTCCTGGTACCTTTCATGGAAGAGGCCTTGTGGCAGGTGGTCCTGATAATCCTTGTCAGGGCCATGGTGCAGAGGCCAAGGGTCCCCATTCTCCCTCAGGGACAAGCATACCCAGAGATAACTGTGCAGGAGCCTGAGGACCTGGAGTCCCAGGCCTGGGTGGAGTGAACCATAAGGACTGAAGACTGTTCCTGTAACTAGACGTGGTGGTGAGAGCTGCCCAGATCTCCGTGCTGCGCATCCAGCAGTCTACATAGCTACCAGAACACCAAAAAATAAACCCTGGCTCTCCACAGCCGTGCTTGGGAATCAACAAGGGCGCCTCTCGCTTGGACTGTCATGAGGCTCAGCAAAGAGACAGACTCAAACTCAGCACAGGACAAGGACCCAGGCTCAGCATAGTAGAAAAACCAAGTTTATTACAGGATCTGGGCAGGATAGATGAGTCCTAGCTGGGAAAGTGGACCCAGGCTTAGAAAAGATGAACCTGTGCTCATTACCCGTAAGGGGTTATGTTGGTTGTGTGAACGGATGCAGGCGACTCCTCTTCCTTTGGGTAGGGCTGTTCCCTGGCCCTGGACTGCATATAACAGAGAAAGGGAGCGAGCAGTGTGCATTCGATCATTCATGCACTCATACACACACACACACACATGCATTGTCTCTTCTCCTGACTATGGACAAAATGCCGCCAGCTTCTTTGAGCTCCTGTTGCCATGACTTCTGCCATGATGGACTTTACCTTGAACTATGGGCTCAGATAAACACTTTCTCCCTTAAGTTGCTTTTGTCAGAATGCTTTACCCCAACAAGATCAGAAACTAAAGTGCCTTCTATCACCCCGCAGCCACCTTCCTAATGAAAGAGCAACATGGCCTTTGAAGACTCAGGTTCATGATGACTCTGCTGAAACACACCCCAGGGGTAAATAGAAACATACAGATGTGATGCAGGTTTCCCATTACTGGCCCACAGCTAGTATTCATGGTCTGGGACCTAGCTACCCACAGTGAGCGACTACCTAAGTCAGGACCCTCTCTGCTTGGTTCTTAACCTATGGATGAGCCAACCGACCTCAGCCTTGAAATTACAGGACGCAGAGATGGGTTTATAATTCATGCCCAAGAGGTGGTCAGTGAACACAACAAGGCTGTGACAAGGCAGGAAAGGGGGAAGCCAGGCCACATTCCCAAAGCACCTGCACACAAACCCACTGGGAAGTGGGAGCCGCCAGGCCCTGAGAATGGAAACCAGGGTGACAGCAGAAATGGGGTGCACAGGAAGAACCTAGCAGGTCTTCTCCAAAAACATACCTGTCAGTTATTTGGCCAGTCAACAACACTGAACCTGAGAGCTAGCCCAGCACAGACAGCCCCGTGCCCACAGCCCCTACGGAACCAGGAGGCTCCCACTTTCTAAATCACACAAATTAATTTAGAAATCAGAGCAGCTCCCGCAGCTAGACTGCAGATTTCAAAACAGCTTAACAAATTACCAAATCCCCTTTAAGAAGACAAATTATTCCTGCTCCTCTGCCGCCTGGTTAATTATGCATGCGCTTTTGTTAGGAGGTGTTAAATATTCACTAGCTGTGGGTTTGCACTTGTGACCCACTGCTCATTTCTGTGCAGGGCAGCAGTTGTGGCCCTCGAGGGCCAGGCACATGAGGGTGCTGGTGTTGAGTCCGCTGTACAAGGCCTTCCTCCCAGGCCATGAACCAGCACATACCACAGCCCAGCTCATCCTGTCTAGGGCTGCTTCAGTGCACAGAGCAACCCGGGATCCCGCCTGAGCCCTCAGATGCTAGTCAACCTGCACAACCAAGAAGGCACCAAGATCTGCCAGGTCCAAGTTCCAGGCCCCCCCTTCCTGGCCATACCCTCCTTGCAATCACTCTCCCTCCTCCAGAAATACAGGCATTCTGTCAGGTTGTGTCCTTAATATTCAAAGGAAGCCAGGAGGACTCTAAGCCACTGAATGCCTCTTTCTTTACTAAGACTGTCCCCAGTCTACCCTGGGGTCTGAGGACCTGGCTCTGAGGATAGCCAGAACCCTTATGCCAGCCACACTCCAAGAACCTACTTGTTCCCTGGTGTCGTGAGGACCCTCTCCAGCATCATTCTTGTGCTGCTCTATCCTTGGGAGCTGAATCCTCGTTTATACTCATGGTCTAGGCTCACAACCTGCAGGCCCAGCCTGCCTGCAACAGGGAGTCCCAGCATTCCCTGTGCCCCACTCCTACCACTCACAGCACTCCCTTTTCTCTCCAGGCCAACAACGTGTACTGATTTGTCCTTAAAATATAAAGAAGAGCGAGCTAGGCAGGAGGAGTCCCTCCGCTCCAGGCAACTAAGTCATGCCACTTTAACCATGCC